CAACATTCACAGAAGAAAAACTTCTATTTCTAAAATGACAAGTTTCTAAAGATTTCATCAAAACTTGGCATTAAAGAACACTTAATTTGGTGAAAGATTAATGAAGACAAATATAATCTATAATATTAAATGTAGTTTTCACTTTCACTGAAAAAAGAACTAATTTTCTTGATATATAAATTATTGTGAGCTCACACACAAATGTATATTAAAGAAATTAAAAAGAACTGAAATACAAATTTTGTAAGTTAAACCACCTTTACTATTTGACCAAACTTTCCTGTATTTTTCTTGAAATTATAAAACATCTAACGAAAAGATAGAGTATAAAATAGTATAAAAGCTATAAAGTACCCATCGCCCTGCTTAATAAATGATTATAAAATAACTGAAACTTCTGGTATACCTCTCCCATATCCCATTCTTTTTTCATTCTATGTCCTATCCAAAGTAGTCATTTCTTAAATCTTGTGCTTATTTTTATATTCTTTATGTGGTCATCAATGATATAGTTTTTCATCAATGATTTTTTTACATTTTAAAATTTTATATCAATTGCATAATTTTGTTTGCTCACAACATTATACCGTATGTCAATATATGTAGCTTTAATTGGGTCATTTTCACTGGTATATAATATTACATGGTCTGAGTACCCAAGTTTATTTTTCTATTTTCCAGATAATAAACATATGTTTCCAAATGTTCACTACTATAAATTGTGCTCTAATGAACTCTCATACATGTCTCATATGTGCCCATGTGAGAGAATTTTCTAGGTTATTTATTTCGAGCAACAGAGCTGCTCAGTTGAGAAATATTTCCATCTCCACTAATACTAATTTCCAACTCTCTCTAAAGTGGTTACATCAGTTTATACTCCTTGCTTGCTAACATTTGCATTGCCAGACTTTTTTTTGACAATCTGAAGGGTTTCTCTTTGTAGCTTTAGTTTGCATTTCCTCTGCTATTAGTAAGAGTGACCGTGTTTTTCATATCTTTATTGGCCTTTCATGTTTCCTCTTCTATGAATTACCTCTGTCTATCTCTCTGTTCAGTGTTGTTTTCTTCTCTTGAGTTGCAGTAAATCTTTGTATATTCTGGATATTTATAGGTTACATGTTGTAATACCTTCTCTCTGTTGTGCATTGTCTATATGTTCTTTTCTGATTCAGAGACATTTTAAGAGTTTAATACAGTAGGATTAATACTTTCCTTTACGGTCATATTTTTAATGTCATGTGTATAACCTGTATCTTGAGTCTTAGGGTAAAGACTGCAAAACCACTTGTGCAGGGGAATCGATCTATGTGATTAATGACTCCACTTTAGAATAGTTTTCTCAGTTTGACCTTTGCATTTTTTCTATTGCAAAATATTACTTCTATGTAAAGAACAAAAATCTAAACAAAAGTCACCTAAATGACTGTCTATACGGCAGACTTTCCTACACTCTATTATAACAAGTAATTTGGGAATTTAGTATTTTAAAAGTTTTGACCAAACAATATAAAACAGATAAGAAAACTTACCTTTTACAGACCTAAACTAAAACTACATTTAATAATAATTCCTACATGATCACCATAAAACAGTTTTTAACAAAGTAATGCTGCCACTGAAGTGTTACTTGTTTTTGTTTGTTTTTCGTCAGATGATCCCACAGAGGGGACGGTGAAATGAAATAGCAAATTCCTACCTTTGTGGTTCCACCATGAAAAATTTCAGCTGGAAAGATGATTTTCCTTTTACAGTGTCTCTTCATTATCCACAATAAAGAATAAAGATGGCCTGGATACAGGATCCACTTAGGGTGCCAAAAACTTATTTTGGATAACTATTTCATTTTCTAACATCATCAAATGATCTAACAGACAGGCACCAAAGGAGGAAAGAGGGCTGTGCTGAACCTTTCCTGCTTGACTGCACATGCTCATTACCAAATGGAGGTGTTAATGAGCGCAAAAGTATCTAGAACACAGTCCAAGGACGAAATAAATAGCAAATAAATCCAACCGACTTAAGTTGTGCTTTCAGGGTATGACAAGGCCAAGCTAAACCACCATTCCCCATGTCCCACAGAACTCAGCACGGCCAACCCTGCATCATCTTGCGCTCACCCGGGACTGTTTTCTTGGGAGGAACACCAAGCCACTTTCCAGCAAAGTCTTTAGGGGTCAGCTAAGGATATGTTGTCATTCGACCACATTGCTGCCTCTCTCTCCAGAAATGATGACAGGCATGTGTTTTTAAAATCAGCTCTCTTCATTTTCTAAGCAAGGACTAATGTGCTGCCTTTAGCATTTCAGCCATTATTAAGCCAAAAGAATTTCAGTTTCTAATGAAATAATATTGTATTTTCTATTATTTCATCTATTCATATTCTTTTTCTGAATAGCTTTCATCTTCTAAATTAACGTTTGTCCATTACTCAAATCATAATGAATATAGTGATTAAATTTATACTGAAAATACACAGAGGTGCCAACTAAAAAAGGTCAGCCCCACTATGGTTGAACTGGAAATCCATTGTATTAAGGTTTAAATTAAATGATCCGTTGCCTGGGTAATTATTTTTCAATGTAAATGCACATCTATGTTCTTAAAACACATGTAAGCTTTATTCTATACAAAGTTTGTTAAAATTTAAATATGTAATGTCAAAAGCAATTTATGTTATTAAATCCCACTTGAAAAAAAAATCCCACTTGAAACCTTAAATTTTTAATGGTTGTATATTTCAAGAGATAGACATTCCATAGTTCTTTTAACTACTATCCCATTAGAGTTGTATCCAATATTTTGCTGTTTGTATATACTGCAAATACCAGTCATTCTTATCACTGCCTTAGAATTAATCAAAGGAAGAATTTCCAGGTAAAAAGGATGTATTTTTAAAACTTATACCTTGACTGACAGGTATTCTATCTGCTGGAAATACCACTTTATACTACCATCAGTATATGTGAACACTTTTTTCACTGCAGAGACTTTTATCTTTTATTAAAATGTTCAACTATTAGGTCAAAATAATATCATCTTGTTTAATTTGGATTTCTTTCATAAAGATAGAAATTTATATTTCTTTCATGGTATATTTTATATAGACAGTATATATAGAGGCTCTTTGTATATTTTATATAAATGATTTATAAAAATCAACATATAAATGCATGAATCATAAGAAAAAAATCTTAATAGTAAAATATGCAGTTATCATAATATACATACAAAACTGTGACAAATAATCTCCCCAATTCATCATCTGGCTTTACATATTAGCCAGTGACCTCTGTGTTTGTTTTTGGTTTATTTTGGTATCGGGAATCAAACTCAGGATCTTGTGTTTGTCAGGCAGGCACTGTGCCGCTGAGTTATGTCCTCAGCCCTGACCTGTATGTTTTAAGCTGTAACCCCATATGGTTTCTTTTCTTTGTGTGATTCTCTATGCTTACTATCTTTCAAGAATTCTTGTGATTTCCATCCACTGACGGGACCTTCTCTTATCCTCGCTAAGATCAATTTATTCGTATAAAAATTCGTGTGCATGGGTGCATGTGTACACCTTTTCTGTCATCTCGTGGAATTTAGAGTGTGGATACACTGGCAGCGGTGGGCATGTACAATTTAAGAATATCATGATTCAAACTACCATCCTGATCGCTTTCTCAGTTTTATTATTTGCTAAACAGTGTGTGCTCCAATTTAATACTGGTGTCTCTTAATCTCAGACTTGGAAATCCAACTCCTACTTGACATCTTTTCTTGGACTCTTTATAGGGATCTCAAGCCAACATGTCCCAAACTGAATTACTAATCTTACCGACAAACTTTGATCTACTCAGGCCAGAAACCTGGGATCAAAGTGTTGATAATTTCTTCTCCCTCATCACCAAGTAGTCCCTACAAAACAAACTTCTTTCCATCTTTACTGGCATTAACTGTGTCAGAATACCATCACCTCTTACCTGACCTAGCTTAAAAGCCTAATTTGCCCTCCCAGTTCTTCTCTTCCCCTCGAATTCATTCTCCCCAGAGTGGCTAAAGTCAATGTTTAAAAACAGAAATCAGATCATGTGGTTACCTTGCTTAAAACTCTTCTATGACTTCTCCTTGCTTTTGGGATAAATTCCAAAGGTTTATATTAAACATCACCTCTGAATTCCAAACTAGAGATTAAACTGTTGCTATTTACTTACAGACCTCTTTGATAGAAATGGCTTATTAGCCTGTTTAGGTTCTATAAATTTAACATCTTTCTTTTCATTATTCCACCATTTTGCTAAAATGTTCCTTAACCTCATATTAAATTAATATAACTATAATGCCCCCTCATGACAATGACCCAAGCTTTCTGGAGACAACTGAAGCGCCACATAACATTCTGCTGTTGCCATGGATCCAGCTTGCCTGGATTTAGTGCTGTCCTTAATTGCTCAAAGAACACATACAAGTTCAAAGAACTGCAAGTACGGTAACAACAAAAACAAGTATTGCTACTACACAATAACAATAATTGGAAAGTTTTAGAGAGGGTAATAACAAAAAAAAATTACAATAATCAAACAGAAATGGAAAATGAGGAAAATTAGGGCACAGCAGGTGCCAAAGACTGCTTCTTAAAAGACCAATAATGATCAACAGTTCATACTGGTTTACATAAAAAGTCAACATGGCCCTCTATTTCATATTTCTCCATTTTTATAATACTGTTAAAAGAACAGGCTCTCCAAATGGATTTCCTAGTTTGATCTAATGTTTTAAGTCTTGAAATCTGACTAGTGAATTCTAAGACTGGAACAAAATCATTAACACAGGAAAAAAAGGAGCGAGAAAAAGGATACTCTTTCCCTGACAAAACTCCCACCTACCTTGCCACAAACTGTACAAACTTTGAAAATGGAAGTTTACCCTCACTGATACTTAATTACAATGCCAGGTTTCAATACTGCTCTTGGTACTGATGGATTTTATAAATTAAATGGTCCACATTGCTTTACCTGATACATTCCAACTCCAATGTGCTTCGGCTCAATTTTCACTAGCTCAGCTAATGGATCTTGTACACGCCTTGCTATGGAAACTGAAAAAACAGAATCAGACAACAAGCATGACTTAATGTGAAAAGCAGTACTCAGATAATTACTTATGTTCATTCTTCATAACATAAGTACTTAATGGTGTCCTGCCTCTTCCCCTCCAAAGACCAACAATGTAAGATTCAAAGTACTCCTTTTTCATTCAAAACTAGAATGCAAATTTCAGGACTAATTATATGCCAAAAAAACTACTGGGACAGTTTTTAAGCAAACAGATTGAAAGAATTACAGATTTGGAAAAACAAATAAAACAATTTCCATATTTATACAATTATCTATTCACTCTTTAAGTAAAACATAATAGGGTACCTCATGTTTAAAGAAAAGTAGGGTTTTGCTTTTTGTTTTTTATACTTTTAAAGAACACTGCACTATTTAAATATGACTTATTCATCAAATACGCTGATTAGCAATAGATCCTTATTACAATGAATAAGTGACGGAATTATACCAGTTTTTTCTTCAGGGGTGGGGCTGGGAACTGAACTCAGGGCCTTTGAACTGAGCTACATCTCCACTCTTTTTAATGTTTTATTTTGACATTGGCTCTTGCTAAGTCATTAAGCTGCCTAGGTTGAACTTGAACTTAAAATCCTCCTGCCTTAGCTTCCCAGAATGCTGGGATTATAGGCCTGAGCCACCATACCAAACTGGAATCATGTCTTAATTCAGCAGACACTGATGGCTAGTGCGTACACTTACAAGGCTTTGCATGTGATATAAGGGCACCCTGGGAAGCGCTAAGAGTCCCAGTTGTTTACCTCTCTCACACACAGGTCTAATCTTATTCCCTTTTTGACCATTACAATGCATGCTCAAGAAACCTGAAAATCAGCCTCAACCATAACTTTATCTGTGTCATGATTTGTACTTCATCATTTACTGTCATCAATTTATTTTAGCCAATATTAATGAAACATCATATCTAATTTAGTTTATAAAGTAGATTAAGCTAGTGAATAGGTACTGATTAGGAATCTTACAGATACTTCTGAAGCCACTCACCCTATCCAGCCCCAAGTAGTAGAGTTACCCTGAGTCCTGACACATAAACAACTTCTACTTCCTAAATGCATGAAAGCTAATCAGTGTCACCTACTCACATAAGGTGGATGGATTATAAATTAATTAAGTGAAAACATTAATACCGTCAAAGGAAATCTCGTGTTTGTTTTCATACGAAACTGTTTAAGGTCTGGCAGCAGAAGTCACTTCTCTAAAAGCAATCATCCAACTCTCCAGTTGCTGAGTCGTGCTATCTCTCTCATCAGAGATAAGATCTATTGTGAACAGTTCACCGCGTGGTTACTTAATTTTTTTTAATATCCCTTATTACCAGCTCTAACATATAGTAACAGTGGCAGCTTGCAAAGCCAGCCTAAAACAATAAGCTAGTGTCACACAATCTGCCTCTTTCTCTCACAAAAGAGCTAGGGATTTCAAAATGCTCACACATACCTTCCTATCGAAAATCATAGTGCAACATTAAAGGCTACAGCAGAAATACTCTCCTCTCATAACTACACTTATCATTACAGATTCAAAATATAGTGCTACCAGATACGCTTGAATTTCCTAAAGCAAATATTTTTATATCCTACTCTTTAAATCTATGCCATAGGAAGAATGATTTTCACACACACACGTATATAAATTGCCAAAATAGTTTAAAAGTTAAAGAAAAAAGCCTGTAACAGTAAGCCAAAAATACAGGCATCAAAACACTTAACATTTAATGTATAGGAAAGCAGTATCAAAAATCCAATACAAGGACATCAATAATGGGTAGAGCTCTCAAATCTATGCCTATTGGGAAACCCACATTATGAAAATCTAAACACAGAAACTGGTTGGAACAGTTGTATAACTCGGAAATACAGGCAGATTCTCATACTTAAAAATTTCTAAACTATACAAAAGGGTTTTTTAAAACTATTTTCTATCTGGTTCACTTCTAATCTCTGTGACCCTTTTTCCATTTTAATACTACCAAATGTAACGGAACAATGTAATGAAAATCATGGCTTGTAGGGGACATTTCAACAGTAAGTCCAAAGACTCTCTGGGGTTACAGCATCCACAATATATACAGCTTTAACAGATACCACAGTGTTTCCAGAACTGGTATTTCCCTCTCAGACGCTGTTTGCTCTATCTAGTATAAAAACCCGAGCACAGAGGAGAAAGGAAGTAGGCAGAGAATGGACATATCTCAAATAGAGCTCAACAGTTGTGTATCCAAGCTTCAGAGAGAAGATGATGCTGGTTTCCGGCTGGAAGGTCACCAAGAAAGAGCTACTCAGCACACAGTAATAGTCCAGAGCTCCGGGCTGAGAACGGTCAGGCTGACAACAGATTACTGACTGAGAAGCAGCCCAGGAAGAGCTTTTTAAACAGCTGATCAAAGGAATTACATGACAAGAATGTCACGGTCCCAAATTTGAGGAACATCTACCATTTAAGACAGAGAAGAAAAGGAAGGAGCAGTGAAAGAGGCAAGGAATGAAGATGAGAAGACCATCATATAGAAGTCAAAAAAGACTTCTAGAAAATGTTAATCGTAGTGTTACTATACACCCCCACGATTTACTCCCAGGTAAGTCCTGGAGTTCAAGAGAAATTGAAAAATACGTTTATGTAAGAGCTGATACATGAGCAGCATTGTTTATAATAGCCAAAACATAAAAACAAATATCCATCAGCTGATGAATAAATACACAAAATGTGGTACACCTGTATAATAGAGCATTATTTGCTAATAAAAGGAATGAAGTGCTGGTACGTGTACCACATAGATGAACCCAAGAACATTACACTAAGTGAGAGAAGCTAGCCAGCAAGGACCGCACATTGTATGGTTATATTTATAAGATATGTCCAGAGCAGGTAAAGCCGTACAGTCATAGAAGAGTACCCAGGGCTGTTGGGCTGGTAGATGGGAGGAGGAACCGAAGTGACTGCTAAGAGGTATGAGCTTCTTTTTGGGGTAATGAAGATGTCCAAAAACTGGACTGTAATAACTGTACAACTCTGACTATACTAAAAATATTGAATTCTATACTTTAAAAGGATGCATTTCATGCTATACATATATGTCAATGAAGCTCTTATATTTTTGAAAATTCGGTATATTCAGATGTATGCCAAATATTGTTTTGTCCACATAAGACATAAATATTTTGCTGTACCACTGCTACTATTTACCACTGATTGGAAAACTCTAGTCAATGCACTTTGACAAAAAAAGAAAGATACATATATCAAAATGACAAACACTAGATGATGATGATGATGATGTTATTTGCAGATAATGATTGTCTCCCTACACTACTCAAAGAGCAAGTCAGCTGAAAAATTGCCAGAACTAATCAGATTTCAACCAGGCAGCTGAACTGCAAGACATACAGACAAAAGTCAGTGTTCATATGCAATCCACAATCAGTAAGATGGAATGGGGAGTGAAAGAACTAAGGAGATGTTGATCAGATTGAAACTATAATTACAAGAGGAATAAGTTAAAATTTAAAAAAAAACTTTTTAAAGCATCACAAAGAACCTGTTAATCACACGTACATAAATTATTTATTATATAATTTGTGATAGTTAACTGATTACATCAACTTGAGTAAGAAATGCCCAACTGGTAAGAAATGCTATCTCTCTAGCATAGTTCTGGGTGTGCAAGACCGCCCCCAGGGAAGACTGGGCCAGAGTGGTATAAAAGGGACACGAAGAAGGACGGCTTGCTTCTGTTTCTCAGAGGAGCTCCAGTCTTTGCCTTCATCTTGCACATCTTCTGCTGACTTCCGCCGCAGACTTCAATCCTTCAGCACTCCAGTATAGACCTTTCAGCCTTCCACTGCAAACCCTTCAGCCTCCTGACGCGGACTCACATGGGACACGATAGTGAGCTCCAGGCTTTTGACTGGATCCTTCCGGATCTCCAGTGCACAGACAGCCCTCTGCACTCTCCAACATCTGACTCTGTGGGCAGCTGTTGTAAGCCAATCATGTAAATTCTATATATTTGTGTATTTTGCATTAAATGTTTCGCTAGTAAAAACAGACTAATACATAATTTTATCCATAAAACCATGAGTAATAAAAATAAAATGTACAGACTCGAGATAAAAGTACAGATTTAAGAGAATCTCTGCACATTATATGGCGTTTTAAAAGTATTTATAAATGAATCTGGAAAAATGCGTAAGATGAATGCAATTAAAAAGATGCTTAGGCCAGGCATGGTGGCACATCCCTGTAATCCCAGCACTCGGGAGGCTGAGGCAAGAGGATTGTTGTGAGTTCGAGGCCAGTCTGGGCTACAAAGTAAGTTCAAGACCAGCCTGAACTGCATAGCTAGACCCTGTCTCAAAAACACAGAAAGAAAGGAGAGAGAGAGAGAGAGAGAGAGAGAGAGAGAGACAGAGACAGAGACAGAGACAGAGACAGAGAGAAAGAAAGAAAGAAAGAAAGAAAGGAAGGAAGAAAGAAAGAAAGAAAGAATGAAAGAAAAAGAAAGAAAAAATATTTCAAGCAAGTGCCATAGAAATTGAGTCTTGTAACAGACTAGATGGACTAGTGGTGGTGAACCTACGGCACACAAGCCATAGCAGGATGTCTGTATCACTGCAAGCTCTAAAAGTCACCACATTAGACAGACCAATGAAAAGAGGGATGTGAGTTTTATGACGGAATGGAAACGAACCATGTACAGAAGGGATAAAGCCCAAGCAGGTGGCCTCTCTTGAGAACTAACTCATTCCACAAGCCAGAATGAACACTTTCCAAGACCAACGTGCTCATAACCTGATGATCCTGTACTAGGTCTTTATCTCTTCAGGATGCTCCCCTTGTCAATATTGCCAGGGTTGGGACTAAGATCTCAGCATTTGAATCTTTGGAGGACAAACCACACCCAAACTCCAGGTGGGGTTAAAGGTGAAACCCAGACCTGTAGGTAGCTTAAGTCTCAAAGTTTCTCATGCATTAATCACTAAGAAGAGGAACGCACCCAATAAGAAATAGGACTTCAAAACGGAGTAGGCCCTAAGAAAGCGAGAGCTGAGACTTCCAACCTCTTTAGATATTTGCCTTCAGGACTACTTTCCAGACTCCAAGTGTCTAGGCAGATGTTCTGGATTGGTACAGATTAAACATCATCACTGGCACACAGAAGCATGTTGAGTCACAGAGGCAGGCACACCTGCAGTAAATCACAAACCAAAGACATAGCTAGTGCGCCTTGGAAATCAGAGTAAATAGTGAGTGATGCCCCTTTTACTGTCTTGTATTGTCACAGTCTTGTTGGAATGTTAAGATCTGGTCTTACTCATGATTCTGTGACAGGTGCCATGGCCTGATAGGTAAGAAGAAACAGCAGTCACCTTAGCAGTGGAAGACCTGGGGGAGCACTGTCCCAGAAAAAAAGGCCCAAACATTTTTCACAATACCATGTTAGAAATTAACTTTTCGGTGCCAACTTGGGAAGTTCTGGATTTTATTTTTTTAAAGAAAATTATCATTTTATTATAGATGTTAGACACACAAATTTTTTTTTGTTTTGTTTTGTTTTGCTTTGTTTTTTGGTTTTTTTCTCCGGTACCGGAAATCGAACTCACGACCTTGCACTTGCCAGGCAGGCGCTTTGCCGCTGAGCTAAATCCCCAGCCCCTTAGACACACAAATATTACGTACACACTTACTAGCTGCTAAACTGTAGTTTCTTCATCTGCAAAGTGAAAGTAATAGTCTCATAGGGCAATTGTGAGGATAAAATAAAATAATCATGGTAATGCATTTCCATAATGTTTCATATATATTTAGTGCTTATGAAAGATTAGAATTGTTTGTTTGTTTTTTTGAGACATGGTCTCGTTACGCAGTTCAGGCTGGCCTTGATCTCACTTTGTAGCCCAGGCTGCCCTCGAACTCCCAACAATCCTCTTGCCTCACCTTCCCGAGTACTGGGATTACGAGCGAAAGATTAGAATTAGCAGCTCCCGCCATGATTACTATTTCTACTCCTCCTACCATATCATTACAGACCACTGTTATCATAAGGCAAGCACCAAAGAACACCAGGTAAGCAAGCAGGGACCAGGCTGCGCTGACATGACAGGGATGATTTTCATAGAAGCAAGACTATATGTTGAGATTTGAGTTGAGAAAATGATAATTTCAGACAAGGGTTGGTGCCATGGAACAAACAATTGAAGAGACACTACAAGGTTTTTCAGATGTAAAAAAAAAAAAAATAGTTTTTAGGGTATTGGTTAATGAGAAACTCTTCAAAAACATACTTCCAGGCACAGATTTCAAGGACATCCAAAGAAATCTGATGTGAATATTTAAAGAAAAAAAAAACTAAGTAAAAGGTCTGCTGTTAACGAATTGATCTATATAACTTCCCTATTGCCCAGAAAAATGCTTTGATTAGATCTAATATTTTGCCTGTGATATCAACTGCTTCCTCTAGATATATCGAAGTATTTCTTTAAATACAGCATTTTAGCTATTCCATATCACAGAAGTCAAGCAATTAAATATAACTAAAATAAAAGCAGGCTTTTTAAAAGCGACACACTATCAAATGACACATTCTATGAGAAAGCCAAAGGAGACTAGCCATTTGACAAATACTTAGCAATGAACTGAAAGCCCGTATGTATTTATTTAGTGCATTGCACTATGAATATTATGTTAACATATTCCTTATCGCCAACAAAAAGTTCTAATTACTAGTATTTGTAATAATGATAATAAGAAAGACCTTAGAGTGTTTTATTATTTCTTATTTTTGAATGCTTGCATTTAATTTTCCTAAAGAGGTTTCATGTTAATTTTTCACTGTTCTCTAGAGTGTTCTGTAGTGTTCTTTAAAAACAAAACTGTATTCTTCTTTCCCAAAATTGCAACTATTATTCCAATCAAACATTTTCTGATACACCAATTCTTATGCATATGTGTATCATTTAAATTTTCTCAGAAATTTAGATATTTAGCTTGCCATATATGCAAGTCCATAATCACATGCTGTTGTGATAGTTTCTTACCTGCACTTCTCAGATTGGGGTCCAGCCCTGGCATCTCCTTGTTGGCTTCAGGACTCACACTATAGATTGATGCTCCTGCTTCACTGACGATACTAAGAAAGAAAAGGAGAAATGTTACTTACCACGCTTTCTATAAATACATGAACTAGCTATCACAGGAAAGAATTATAGGGGCAAAGTGATCTCCTTATGTCTCAGTGATACCTATAGCACCTACTATTCATCAGTGTGAAGTGATTAAGCCATGTTTGGTTTTTCCACGTAGCAAATGCACAGGCTTAAATCCATGATAAATCCACTCTGTTGTTTTCTCTGTCACTGATAAAGACATACTTTACTGATGAACAAAATAAATCCTTAGCTTCTCCTCTGTGTACTTTTTTTTCTTTTTTGTACCGGGAGTCAAACTCAGGACCTCGTGCTTGCCAGGCAGGCCCTGCGCCTCTGAGTTATATATTCCTAGCCCTCTCCTGTGTTTAGATCCACTCTTGACTGACACGTACGATTTTCATCTGAATGAATCATTCTAAACCTTCTTAGAAAGCATATACTCATATGCGTAGATATGTGCACACATAAATGTACAAATTAAACACGCCATAAACACTGATATTGTTATTACCTGGTTACATCAATAAGCACTATGTAAAAAAGAAAGATCAAATAGGATGTCACCTTACTTCTTTTCAGGAGGGTTTGAAATCATTGTTTTAGTGACTCCAAAGCCTTTCACTTGAGACTAGTATTAAACCATTTCCTTTTCTCATTTATTTAATCAGTGCATCATCCATACCATCCTCTTCCTTTCTCCAGCAGTTCCAAGTACTTTACGCACCACAACGGGAACACGCTCTTAGAGCTGACATTTGTTCGGTGGTTACATTTATACAAATGTCTATTCATCAAACACCGTAAAATTAAGAGTTCTCCTTTATGACATTATATACAAAGGAACGTTGTCTACCCTAAGTATACACAATGCCTATGGCTCTAGGTCGGGAGCAGCTGAGCTGAGCTCGCCCGCACATTCGGGGCTAGAGCAGGACCAGCCCCGGGATACGGGGCACCGGAGGTGAGCCACGTGAACACGCCGCTGGGACGAGAGCAAGGCCAGTCCAGCAGGTGTCCGGCCTTGGTGTTCGTCCCGGTGAACTGCAGCACAGGCAGCGCTGGGAATGTTTCAGCCTTAGACTTTTGACTCCATCGCGCACTTCCCCTCTTCTTACTGTGTATAAAGATGCAGACCATGCTGGGTTGTTGCTACCTCTCCATCAGAGAGGTCAGGTCCTACCCGGTCCCAGCTTTCCTTTTATTATGTGTCTAGTTTTTCTCAATCTCTCATTGCCACCTCTCAGCACCTCACTGGCCACACTGGTCAAAGCAGCTCTCCACCACGATCACCCGGGTGTCAAGATTCAAAAGCATAAACGTGTTAGTGCTCCACTTTTAACCCACACATAGAAGCCATTCCCTTTCTCTGCCCCTCACTGTTGACTTCAATTATCAGATAAGTTTCATGGACAACTTTTTAATATATTGCCCTACTGTAATAACTGAATACTGAAAGATACAGTGTGTCAAAGTTGGTTTGCTACCCCTTGTCTTTGGAGAACTCAACTGAATTTTTTTTTTTTTTTTTTTTTTGTAAAGAAAGGCTCTTACTATGTAGTTCAAGTTAGCCTTGAACTCACTGTGTAGCCAAGGCTGGCCTTGAACTCCTGGCAATCCTCTTGATCTTCCTGCCTCTACCTTCTGAGTGCTGGGATTACAGGCAAGCCTCACTATGCCCTGCCCCAGTTTATTGTTAACCTATTTTTTACATGTGGTACTGGGGATTGAACCCAGGGCTTTCACAATGAGCTGAATCCCCCGTCCCTTTTTTCACTCAATTGAATATAGACATACACAACAACTTGAGGAAGCTACCACCACTTGAGAAGATCATTCTAGAGAACTCAAGATTTATTTTTTTGTAACCAAGTTCTACTACAGCTTTCTAAATTTGTGACAGGAAAAATGGACACTGCAATTGAAAATTATAGCTGTTCAACTTGTTTGTCATTAACAAAATAATGATACAATAAGAGGTTAACAATTTGTATTTTATACCTGCCATAAAACCAAGCACTTTATAGAAATTATAGAAGCTGGGCATGTGACGCATACCTATGATCCAGCACTCAAGAGACAAGAGGCAGGAGGACGGCTGTGAGTTTGAGGCCAGCCTGGGCTACATAGTGAGTTCAAGGCAGCCTGAACTACCTTGCCTCAAATGAGACCTTGCCTCAAAAACAAAAGACAGAGAGAGAGACAGAGAGAGACAGAGAGAAAGGAAAAGAAATTATTATCTTATTTAATTGATTAGGTCTTATTTTATAGGAATGCAATGTGCCCAAGGTCAGTTGAGCTGGATTTGGATCCTAATCTGCTTGATCTGAGTATTTTTCCTCTTCTTGGCACTACGGATTGAAATCAGAGCCTTTGCACTGAGCTACATCCCCAGAACTTTTATAATTTTTTTTTTTTTTGGAGACCATCTCTCTAAGTCACCAAGTTACCTGGATTGGGCTTGAACTTGCAATCCTTCTGCCGTAGCCTCCCAGAGTGCTGGGATCATGGGGTGTGTGCCACCATGCCTGGTTTAAATCTGAGCTCTTAACCTACACAACCTAACAACTCCTAAAAAGTTTCAAAGCCTTTCATTAAAACGAGAACCCAGTTTCTGGCCTCAGGCAAATATTTCCTAAAGAAAAACTACTTCAACAACAGATCTATAAGAACTCATTTCTATCTTTCATTATCTTCATTTTTGACCCAAAGATAAATGGAGTATTGTTTTCTGAAGTACCTAAGATAAAACCTAAACCATATAGAAGGTCAAATTTCTTCTGAAATTTCAGACACCACCTTTAAAATTAAAAAAAAAAAAAAAAAAACTGTGTATAGCCAGACAAGATAGAACACACCTACAGTTCCAGATGCTCAGAAAGCTGCAGCAGGTGGTTAACAAGTTCAAGGTCAGCCTGGACAACTTAGAAAGACTCTGCCTCAAAATTTTTCTCAAAAAAAGCTTTTTAAAAGGATTAGGGTGAGCTGAGCATAGTAGCACATGCCTATAATGCTAGCACTTGGGAGGCTGAGGCAGGAGGATTAAAAAGACTGAACCTAGCCAACCCAGGCAATTTAAGGAGAGCCTGTCTCAAAATTTAAAAGAGTTCAGGATATAGCTCAGCGTAAAGGCTGCAGGATTCAGTCCTCAGTTCTGGGGGGGAAAAAAGGAGAGGAATTGTTTTTCTCCCAAATAAAACTTTGAGTATGCTTATCTTCTATATAATGATCCAGAAGAAAATAAAGGATTAAATAAAGCTTAAGGTGAAGAAAATTATTAGAGTAGCATGATAATGGGATGGTAAAACTAGCAAACTAGAACTGATCTAACAGTTCTGCAGCAGCAGTGCTTCCTAACCCGGGGGCTGCTAGATTCTGGGCAGAGAGAAACAGGATTAATTAAAACTATATGAAGACTGTTTGTGTTGATGCATTTTCCCCTCTAGGAAAAGGGGTTATAGCTTTCACTACTGATTACTTAAAGAAATTCATGTCCTCAAGAGAGGTTAAGAAACACGACGACAGGATAAGAATATTCAGTCAGAACTATGGAAAACTCCTTGTGAAGCACAAAGCAGCACTCAATCCAATGAAGTGTGTTCTAAAAGACTAGTGTGTCCATGAAGTACAGGCCGGACCTACTACTACAAAAAAAAGAATATTTTAAAAAGTCTCACCACAAATTTATTTTCTATCATTTCCAGAAACCTACAAAGTTACAACTACTTTAGCAAAGGGAATTGAATGGTAAATTAAAATTCTAATTATCTGTGGCTGTTAGCAGTTGGGTACCTGAGAATTTGCTGGGTGATTCACTGTCTCTTAGAAGTTATAATTCTCAATAGACTGAGGGGAACAGTTGCAAAGAAAAACACTCAGATAATAAATATTCCTCTAAATACCATACTGCCACTTCTTTTAAACAGAGGAATACAAAACAGATGTGACACATGCACCCAAAGATTTTAGATTAACATTAATATTAAATCAATACAAAATGTAGTAAATTTTATATGCTTTAGTTACTGAATGGTATGGGTCCAATAAACAGTTCAGTACTGAGCATGGATCAGAAAGCTTAAATAACCTAAATGAACAAAAACCTCAAACTGATTCTTTCAATATAAATCAGAAAAAAAGTGTATGTGACAAGAAGTAAATGAAACAAATCAAACTGAGAGTGGTGATGATTTTATCCAGAAGTTGCTAAGAACAAAAGCTGCAACGCGCCCCTCCCAATCTTTTCATTCCTATTGGAGTCCACGGATAGACATCCACCAGGGAGCATGCTAGATTTATAAGGCACATCTGTTTAATGAGAAATTTCTCAATGAACTATTGGGAAATATTTCAATTATTTCTAATACATTGAAGCAAGAATGAACCTTGTACGATATTCCTGTATCTAATTTAATAAGTATTATATTTCACAAAACAAATTTCTTTCCTGTATAAATAGCTAGGCTCAAAATTTTTATCAATTTATTTTGTATATTTTAGCATGAAGCAGATAAGACTGAGGAGGATTTATTATTTGAGGGATTTTAACTGACAGAACTGTAACTAAACTAATGTTTCAAGATTATTCCAGTACCCCAAGGCCCTTAAAATTGGTGAAGTTTAGAAAATCACCTAAATAAATACATACAGTATCGCAAGCTTAAATAAATGAAAGTATTTTCAGAAGCTAACATTGGAATAACATTTGCCACATCTATATATTAATATGCTAATTCTCTCTAATTAAACAAATAACCTAAAAATGTTGATCAAATAAAGCACTATTTGGGATCTTTTGGGGTCTTTCATTTTAAGTAGACAAACTATGCCTTCATAATCTAAAAAGTACATAAAGCACCTACAATATAGATAGATGCCTTTACTTTTAAATTCATTAAATGTTTTCTCCAGAAACCCCGTAAGTTGAAAATGCCACATTTTGTTATCCCAAGTAAAATTCAATGATGTTACTTTCATAAAACTG